GAGGATGTAGCCCCAGAATCTCCCACTAGCATTATACTTCTTTGCAAAACACTCTAATGCATGATGAAGGTATTGTGTTGGTTTCTGAAACTTTTGCTTATGAGCTGAAAGCGTGGCAGACTTGTACATTGTGAAATCAATCCACTCATACATCCAGAATGCTGGACTTCAGCACAACAAGGCCATGGCAAGCTCTTTAATTAGTAATTACAAAAACCTCAAGTTGCAAATATTTGATTCTTTGTCGAGAAAGGGATACAGCTATGTGAAGCAGGTAATCTATTTCATCAAGGAAACAGAACTTCTCCAGGTAAACAAAATCCCCTGAGCACTATACAGTGGACATTATAGCTTGAGGAACCTATCTTGACAAGGCAATAATATTTCCACTTGAAAGTAATGATTTAGAAAGTCATGTTTTTTGCAAGTAGAAAATGGAGCAATGTGGAAAGAGCTGACAAAAGAGGACTTGGTGGAGTTTGGAGACTTGAAGTTTTCACACCTAGCTAAAGGAGGGTTTATAAAACTTTGAGAATTTAATGGCAATGAGCTAAAATAGACAATCCCCATCCATTGGCACAAAGCTATATATTTCATGCAAGCTAATTAGCTTATCAGCTCCCTTAAGAACTAAGGAGCACCAGTTCTGGTTAAAGTGTTGTTTCCTAGATTTAATACACTATAAAGTTTCAAGTGAACTCCCTTGGATCTATCTAATCAACAAACTTTCCACAATTTATATAAATCTAATATATTATGAATGATAATTTAGAAAGGCTATACTTTACCAAGAATATATATTTTAATGTCTATAGCACTGCCAGCTTTTAGTTTGTATAAAATATTTCTCAAATTCTTAAAAACAATTTTAAAAAAAACAAATATTGCAACAAAACTTCTAATAGGTCTAGGGTGGTCAAAATTAACTACAGTATAGTAATGGGAGAACTTGGGAACTAGTGTGACAAAAGAAAGCCATACTGCTTTCCAAAATTAATGACTATGAAGACATACACTATATGTGAGATTACTTAAAGATAATTGAGTTTTGATTATTAAAGAATTCAATATTTCTTCATAGAATTGGGTGTGGTGTTTATCGTGTAAGACACAAATCCCTAAGTTCCAAAATGGAGCCTAAAATGTGCCATGTGGTAATGGCCAAAACAAAAGCCAAACAAATATAACATGTTTAAACTAAAAGCTCTAACTCAAAAAATTGAAAGCAAGAATAAAACTCCTAAGGAAGTGTTCAAGAAACAAATTCGAGTCTAAGCAAGAATAAAACTTCTAAAAAAGTGTTTAAGGAACAAGTCTAAATTCAAATTCAAGTCTAATGGTGAAAGCCTAAAGCAATCGTGTTCCAGACCCTAAGGGGTTTAGTGAGTGATGATATAAACACTAGAGAATCTAAAGGTTAAAATGAATATAGATAAACAAATGGGGTGATGGTAAAATGTTTAAGAGCTGACTCTAGCTCTCCCTAGAGATTAGATAGTCAATACTCTTAATTTAAGTGTGGGTGGCATTATCTACTTGCATACCTTCTATGGTTTGTTAGAACCTTACTTTAGTTAAATGGCTAGGGCACCTTAGTAGTAGAAAGTAAGGGGAGTATTTATGAGACTTGTTTGGGTCCTAGATCAATGGTGGTGTTAGCGAGCATTACTATAGACAAGGCACTCTAGTAGCAAAAGGTGTAGGGAGTACCCATTAGACTTGTTTAAGCCTTAAATCAATGGTGGTGTTAGTGAGTATTGAATAGATGGATTTAATGGGGACTGTAAGTTCTTGAATTTAAATTTTGATAAGACCATATTGTGGGTGGTCTTGGAGTACCAATGGACAATATAACTTTAATGCAATAGGCTGAAATATTGGTGGTACCTTTGAGTGTTTAAAATGAAATTAAACACATGAAACACTTAGATTAAGTGCAGAACTAATATGGTCTTGAGATCACATCTAGGGGTAAGCAAGTACCCCAAAGTAGATGATGACCTATGAAAGTTATAAGTGAAACTACTTCAAAAGGATATAGTTATGATTAAGTGACTAAAGTAGAATGAAAAATTTAATTAATTACACATTGCTCCTCTAGGAAATTTGATCAATTACATAAAGTTGTGGAGTGTTAGTATTTAAAGGAAAAAAAAGTATTAACCTCTATAAAAGATACTTTAGAACTAAGTGAAAAAGTTTAAAAAAAAAAAAAAAAACATAACTACTTATATAAAGAAACTTATATGAAATTCTTGAAATACTTTTTCTACTTTATATAAATTTAAATAATAATTTAATAACCTAAACTAGAATATTTAGAAAAGTTAAAGTATTAATTTTTTATTAATTAAAATATATAACTGTATAAATAGTAAAATATATGGGTGAAATTATTTACCTAAAATGTTAATCAAAGGATAATATAATTTATGATCAAATATTAGAAGATATGAAATAAGCTGAGTGAGAATTTAATCTTAATGTTGGTGAAAGTACAAAATTTTTGTGTGATGCATATTGGAGATTTAGTAAAATATTATTTATTGCATATAGGTATATAAAGATTATAAAACAAATATGGCATAATTTTCATAATGGTATATTCAATTTTAATAGTTCAAATCACCAAGTTAATTCACCCTCTTACTCCTTTATGTAGAATTAATTTAATTTATAAATGTACATTTAATTTATTTTATAATGCAGTTCTTATTTACTATGAAGAGAAATTTGAAGCATATTAGAGAAAGAAAGGAATATATGAATGAAAATAATTTAAATATAAATTTTTATGGTGGATATGTTATAAAATAAAAATAAATTATAAGAGCATGTAATTTCAAAAACATTGACAGTTTTATTAGAATTATGTTACAAAAAAGTGGATCTTAATTTTAGAACTAGTTATTTTTATAATAAAAAGTATATATATGATGATAATGGTAATTAATTTTAATAATGGTAATGGTATTATAATAAAAAGATACAAGAAAAATTCTGATCGTTTTTTTACTTTTTCTCATGTTTTTTTTACCCAATAATTTTTGGAATAATAAAAATTACTATATATCTCAAGAAGACTTAAATATGCATTTTAACAGCTCAATCAAATAATTTACCATAAAAAGGCGGGAAAGTCTTCTTTCAACTGTGTGATTTTCTCAAAAAGTATATATATGATGATAATGGTAATTAATTCTCACTCAATGTTGTGAAAAAAAATCATGCTTTCCCTGCTGAAGCGGTGTCACCAAGTGTCACCAAGTGAGGGGTGACAATATTGACAGTTTTATTAGAATTAAGTTACAAAAAAGTGGATCTTAATTTTAGAACTAGTTATTTTTATAATAAAAAGTATATATATGATGATAATGGGTGAATGATTTTAATTACTTTTATCAGTGGGCTGAAGAGACTATACACGAAACTACTTAAGAATGCTCCTCACATCAGTTACCTTCTCTATTTCACTTCTATATGATAGAATCTATATTATATACTCTCATTGTATAGCTTAGCTAATGAACAAGAGTGGTTTCAAAATCTAATATTCAAAAAATCTTAATTACTATATACATAAAATCATTGATTTTTTTTTATCTTATGAATTGCATAGCTTGCAAAAGTACCAGGTGGCAATTGTTTACCTAGATTACTTTTATCAATATTGTGAAAAAAAATCATGCTTTCCCTGCTGTTTAGTATTTTTCTCAAATTATTTTTGTTGCGCTTGGCAGTACGTATCATGGATAATCTCTGGTTGCCGAAGGTGGAACCCAGTGTCTCGTCTGTCACGAGTATTAACATCATTGAATCATTGACAAGTACAATAATTTGCTGACGTGATTTTATTGGAACTCACAAAAAAGTTGATAGTCAGAAACAAACTTTTCTCTGTTTTCAACAAACTTTGGGCGTGGAATGTGCCAAGCACGTCCACAACCGATTCTTCTGCCCATTCGCACAGTCTTCCTGCTTCCTATAACCCCAACAAGATCTTGGACGTCAGATTTAACCTTCTCTCGACCTTTATGCAGATTCTTTAACAAGTTATTCCATTTCCTTTTAATGCTGGAAATAGATCCAGTACCTCATACGTTTCACCAGAGGGCTGAAGTTGCACAAAAGAAAGATCTTCGGAAGTAAAACTTGTCACAACTTCCTGCCTTGCATAATGATTCCTCAATGGCGGAGGAGCAATGCCCAGCTCAATTCCTTCCACATTTGCGCTATCCCTCAGCTTGGCAAGCTTTCCCGCAGGACTTTTGACAACCTCCCCCCTGCCACCTTTTCTCTTTCCACCAGTGGCGAGGCTGAGGCTGAGGCTGAGACCAACAATCTCCTCCGAGATCTCCATCCCAGCGTCGTCTGATCTCATCTCAGAAACTGGCAATGCTTGTCCTCGAAAACCGCTGCTCGATGCAGACCTCGAGTCGAGCGTAAGGGTGTAGCCCTCGCCCGGATGCTGCACAATGTATCTCAGCTTGCACCCGATGCTGCAAAACTTGAACTTCCCGTTTTCCAGATCCGCGATCTCCTCGGGCGTCCGGTGCTTTTCCTTGCCGGTGGAGTGCCTCCGGCCACACGAGATGCAGATTTGGGCCTTCCCCTGCGGGTTCTGCTGGTTGGACGTTGGGCGGTCGATGTAAACGCCGAACTTGAAGTTGCAGTAGTACCACTGCACGTCGCTCACGTCCAGGAGGTGTTTGATCTCATCGACCCTGATGGACATCTGCCGCGAGGATTTGAGGATCTTGACGATTTCGTGGTGGTTGTCGTCATGGCACGCATCGCAGACGACGTCCTCGCAGCGAGTGCAGAAGTTCTTGAAGGTGCGAGAGCACACGCACTTCAGGCCCAGTTGATTCTCGGGCCGCGTGATGCGAGCCAAGGAAATCAGCATTGGCAGCCACTTTGGACCTTGGCTCTTTGTATCCATTAACGCTACCCTAGGAAAAGAAAGCGTTCAATATATACAGTACTTTCAAAGGGATTGCAAAAAGGAAGCACTATTTTAGTAAAATATATTATCGGAATCTATCCACCGGAATAATTAAACCTTTTTGATAAACGAGAACGAGAAAATTTTTCCTAAGATTATCGCCGTGTTCTTTGACTCTATTTTATTGAACTCGGCTGCTGCTCTGACGAGACGTTCCTACACTACCTCAGTGACAACAAAAACGGTGCTCACTTGCCACCACCGCTTTGAGCCCAGTACTCTTTGACAAGCTTTGCAAACAGAGAGTCCGGATTCTGGAGAAGCTTTTGAGGACTCTCGTACTCTGCCAATCGACCTGTTCGGTTCTCGAGGTTTAGAAATCCGAGAGCACAAAAGAGACAAAAAAAAAACTGCCACTTACCATCGTGCAGTGCCATAACTCTATCGCTGTCAATCACCGTTGGTATCCTGTGAGCGACCGTCACCACGGTGCACGAAGCAAACTCCTCCCGTATGACTTTCTGGAGGACTGCATCCGTGGTTGAATCGATAGAGGCCGTAGCTTCGTCCAGAACCAGAATTCGCGACCGTCGGAGGAGAACACGACCGAGACAAAACAGCTGCCTCTGCCCCGCGCTCCAGTTTCCACCCTCATCAGCCACTACAAAGGCACGTCATTAACAAAACCAGGGGAAAATGGAGACTTTATAGTACCTCCTGATTCAAGTTGTTCCGGCAGAGATCGGATCACGTCACCCATTTGACATTTGTCAAGAGTCTGAAGAAAATTCTGCTTAACACAAAGAAAAAAAAGGTTGAAACAAACTTACCTCCCATATTTCCTGGTCAGAATAAGAACCGAGCGGATCCAAGTTCGACCGTACTGTTCCACGGAAGAGCGTTGGTTCCTGAGGTATGATCCCCAACTTCGTTCGCAAATCCCGAAGCCCGATAGAGCATATGTCGATTCCGTCGATTAGAATTGTTCCACCGACTGGCTCCACAAGACGAAACAAAGCTCCAATCAGCGTCGTCTTCCCACTGCCGGTTCTCCCAACAACACCAACTTTGTGGCCTCCTTGAATGGTGCAGCTGATTCCTCTGAGCACCAGAGGCGAGTTTGGCCGGTACCGGATCTAAAAAAAATGTTTCGCGTCATGCTCGGACTGAAATAGCTTTATTACCTGAAGTTTTTCCAGTACGATCTCTCCCTTGCTAGGCCATTCAGGAGGTGGTCGGTTGTTCTCAATAATAGGTGGAGCCTCAACTGGGACATTCATGTATTGCTTGATACGCTCGACTGAGACAATGGTGTTGGCTAACTGGCAGTACCATTGTGTGAGAACCACAAGACTAATGTTCACGAGAGCTCCATATGAAAGTCCCATACCAGCAAGGCCTGAAAATACATGAAACGGTTGTGATACATGGATGTGGGATGGAGTTTTACATACCTGGGCCGATGTCGAAAGTCGACAGCATTATACCAAAAATGCACAGCAGCACAGTCCCGCACGATTCTACACGTAGCACAAGCCATTCCATCACCGAATAGTTATGCATATATAGAGAAACATCCTTGTCGAGAAGGACCAAGTTCTTCCGCCTGAACTCGTCTGCTACTCCGAAAGCTCGAATCGAAGTAACGCCGTTAATAGTCTCGCCAGACATGTTGACAATTGGTGCTTTCGTCATAGCGTTCAGCCTCATGAGCGACTGTGCAGTGGAGCGGAAGTATTTCTGCCAAATCACAAATTTTAGCGCCAACAACAAAATTAAAAACTAACAACAGTTACCTCGACTCGTTTGATCATGTACAACATCGGTATGACGAAGACGAAGTACGGCCAGACCACGTAAATCAGTATGATGAAAACGCTGGGAAGATCAAACAGGAACCCGATTATGATGTTCGAGATTTGGTTGAGGTCGATGTCCAGTAAACTCATGTCATTCGAGGCCTGATCCAGACTCACCCGTAAGCTCACGGAAAAAGGGAAAAACGGAGACTTACCCTGCTCAGAATCCTTCCTGTCGGTGTTGAATCGAAGAAGGACATCGGCGCCTTGAACAGAGAATCCATCAATCTGTAGAAGAACTCCCTAGAAGCCTTAAGCCCCATAGCAATATGAGCTCTCATCCTTATGATAAAACAAAAGCTCGTCGACCAGGAGATCAAAGTGTATCCACCAACAAGCAGCTTCGCATTGATGTCCGGATTCTGAACCTGGATTGCGAGATATAAACTTGCGGCAGCCTGACCAGCAACCAGACCCGCCTGCGCGACTAGATCCACAATGAAGAAAAATCTCGCCTTGGAGATTGTCAGATAATCCTTGTAAGGCTGGAGACCCAGGTCTCCAACCCCCATCTCTTCCTTCTCGGTCAGTTGAGAAGCCGTGAACGATTCGCTATGATCTTGCTGCTTTTTGCTGGAATTCCTTCTTACGATACTGATGTGCCTCTTGAACTCAGGGTCTTTGTTAGATTTGCTTTCACTCATCTGCTGCTCCTGCTGCTGATTGTTGAAGTTATCCAAAGCCTCCTTGTGAGCATTGACAAGCTTCTCAAACGCGAGACCTGACTCAACTAGTTCGTCATAGTTACCACTCTGTAAGACTTCGCCATCTTGCATCACCTGCACACGGAAGTCGTTTGTGAGCTTGAGCTTATAATTCTGAAAAATCAAAACACTCACCAAAATCTTGTCAACCGCAGGTAGGAACTCTACTTGATGAGTAACGAGCAACACAGTTTTACCAGCCAATGCTTTCATAACGCAATCCTGTTAAAACCCCTTTAGTAAACCAGAAAAGAAATCTCAGGAACTTACATGAAAGAGAGTTGCAGCTGTGTGAGCATCCACAGCACTGAAAGGATCATCCAGAAAATAGATATCCGAGTCGTAATACACCGCCCGAGCAAGTTGAATTCTCTGCTTCTGGCCACCGCTGAGATTTAGCCCCCTCTCGCCAATCTCAGTCTTGTCACCATGCGGAAGTATCTTCAAGTCGGATTCAAGAGCGCAAGCCTTGAGAACGTTCTGGTATTTCTGCTCGTCATAAGGTTTGCCAAATACCACATTGTCTCTTATCGTGCCAGTTTGGATCCATGCAGACTGAGAGACATAAGCCACTGTCCCATAGAGTTGCACCTACAGGAAAGAAAAAAAAAACACAATGAAAGAAAGATTCGTCAAACGTAAATAGAACATTAACTTACTGTTCCAGATATCTTGGGAATCTCTCCGAGTAAAGCGGACAACAACGACGACTTGCCAGACCCAACAGCACCACAAATGGCCACTTTATCACCGCGATGTATCTCAAAGTTTGCATTCTTCAGGCTCGGGTGTGAACCATCCCAGCTAAAGAATCCCCCTCGAGCGCGCACAACAACGTCGTTCCCCTTGAGAGACCTCCGATCGACAGCGTTTGTATCAACTTCTTCGTCCTGGAGGAACCTCCCGAGCCTTAACAGCGAGACTTTCACCTGGAAGAAGGAAAACGTGAGAGCAATTAAAAGAAAGAAATTGCAAGTCGTCAACACAAGATCCATGGAAAAGTTGACACATCAGCGGACGAATCCTACTGACAGGAAAACGATGCAATGACAAAGAAACCAGGAAACGTGGACAAGCATGAACAGCCCACAGTGTATGATCTAAAAATCTAAAGAACGAAGTTGCGACTTTCAAAAAAAATTAAAGGAAAGATGGACGATGAGAACTCACCTGGGTGATGATCGCTAGAAGCTCGGGGACGATCCTCACGGGCTCCTGCGTGTTCCCAAACGCCGAGAAGACCGTGAAGATCACCGCGGCCGTGAGCTTGTTCCCGAGAAAGGCATACCCGGCAAGAGCAACCGCGACCGCCACCGTGTAGCTAAACCAAAACGTGATGAGCGAGACGCTCCTCTTGCCGTGCATGGATCCCAGCCACTGGAGCTCCTCCTCCCTGTGCTGCTTGATCAGCGTCTTGAATTCCTCCTCCCACGCCTGGAGCTTGATGATCTTCATGCTGGTGAGGATCTCCGTGGTAGCCCTCAATCGCTTGTCCTGCGCGACCATGAAATTCGTCTGCGCGCGCTGGAGGAGGCGGCTGGTGGGGATCTGGATGCACGCCGTAACGACGAGCACGGCAACGCACGCCAGGGTCGCCAATCCGATCGTCCCTACGAGAATGCCGATGGCGATCCCTAGCTGGAGGACGAGCGTCCATGTATAGTGCATCCACCACGCAAAATCCCCCAGCCGGTACGCATCCACGCCGATGTAGCTCACGATCTCGCCCGCGCCATGGCGCTGCGTGGCCGAATTCGCGAGCCGGAGCTGCTTCTCGTAGACCTCGGCGATGACGGCCGATCGCAGGCGCGCGCCGACGAGGCGCGATTGGAAGCTCCAGTGCCGCTGCGAGATGGACTGGAGGAATTTCGCGGCCGTGAGGCCGAGGATGATGGCGAAGCCCTCGACCCGGAAGAACCCTAATTTTTCCCCCTGGGGCTTTGCCACCGAGCGCACGAAGAAATACGTGAAGAGCGGCGAGGAGGAGAGCGCTAACGTTCTTACGAGCGCCAAGAATCCAGTGTAGAGGAATTCCTTGCCGAAGCATCCGGCCAGCGCCTTGAAGACGGAGATCCTGGCGCCATGCTTGCGCTGGAGCTCCAGGCGCTGCGCGAAATCGAGGTGATTGGTCTGGGCGCTATACTCCGGTGGAAGAACGGGGATGTCCTGGAGCTCCAGCGGCCTGGAATGGCCGAGGTCGAGCAGTGGATTCATCCACGAGAAGGAGAGCTGGCTCCAGAATCCCGCAGTCGCTAGCGGCGTCACATTCTTCTCGGGGATCTCTACTCCGCCATCGCCGTTGAGCAGCGGCGTCACGAGATCGCGCTCCTCGTCGCGCTGTTCTTGCCCGCTCCAGATCTCGCGGAGCTTCACCGCCGCCGCCGCAAGGAGGACACAGCACACCGGCCACGCCGCGATGGAGAGAATGCCATAGACCGTGAGCGCCGACGAGGACTCCCGGACGAGCACCACGATCGTCCACGCCGTGATCACCGTGTTCATCACGAACATCGCGATCCACCAGATGCAAGCTGTGAACTTCGCTGCTCGACGAACGCCGGACGCCATCGCCGAGTAGCCCACGCCGCCCCACGAGATCGTTTGGGCGAGCCAGAAGACCCAGACGATGGAATCGACCGGCCACTCGGTCGCGAGCAGCCATAGCAGCACCGCGAGCTGGGCGAGCGCGACCAGGCTCGCTAGAACGCCCACCAAGATCGACCACCGCGACCTCCTCCTGGATCCAGTGTTCTTGCGCGATGCGATGTGGACGATCACGAAGGCGAAGAAGAAGGCGAGCTTGAGGATGCAAGTGATCGCGTTCTCGGTGTGCGGTAGAACCGCCCAGGAGGACTGGAACCGGGTGGAGCAAATGGATTGGAGCTGGATCCAAGCATCTGGCAAGAACAAAGCGATACGAACGAATCAGCGCCAACAACACATCGATCTATCACTCGCTCACCTTGGACCTCTGGTCGGACCTTCATCGCTGATTCAAGTATCACTCCTCCTCTCAAGAAGAGCCAGCGACCATCTAGCGCTCCTCAATCCACCATAGCCGAGTGAATTCTACCTCAAATCCACCATAGCTAAGCTCTGCCTAGCTAGCTCTCGGAGAATGTGGGGTAGCGCGGGCGATCGATCGCTATGACTGAATTAATTGTAACCGGCGGCCTTGCTGGTCACTGCTCCTTCATTCATTCCAAATTCCTCGTCCTCCGGCCAAATTTTTTCCTGCCAGTACCAACAGAAGCAAAGCAAGGGAGCCGCGAGAGAGAAAGTTATCTTTCTTCCTCGGTGATGTGTCACTCTCCTCCGCCACGTCGGACTTTTCCGCCTATGACGTGGTCTAGCTGGACATAATTCTTAAATGCCCCATTTGTTACCTGGCGCGAACTGTCCGGCAAGAACCACGTGGGCGGCGATCTGACGGATACCGGCGTAACAGCTCGGCCCCAAATCGACGGCTCACAGGCCTGTGGCTCCCAGACGAGCCACGCACTTGGAGCTTTGACGGGCAGCCAGGGGTAATATAATCACTTGCTGGCTGGCTGTGGAGTTGACACATTTGTAGTTTGGAAAGAATCGAAATTCTCCAACCCAAACGTCCAAGTACATGATTCTTTGTATTCACAGATCGAAGGCACGCAACGCAGCAAGCAACTGAGATCTTTCCTCCAGCAAGGAGTGATTGAATTCTTCTCGAAAAGTTTGGGTCTCATCTGATTGTAAGTTTAGGGGGATCTTTGTGAAGGATTCCCGGACACCGGACAAATGGAGGATGCTTTAGAAAATTTTGGGAAAACGCTGGCATTGAGGAGGCTTAGTCAAGCCCAACATTTGAGTCAATTGGCTCAATGCAAATTCCTCCCTTGTCTTTTTGTTTCCAGAAGTCCAACCTGATCGCCCACACTCCGATTTTTTAAGAGTGCATAGAATACGAAATGGACTCTTTCATTGACACGGAGTACGAAGATTTTAGGGTTCTATGGGGTTTTGATTTTAGGGTTTTCCCATGGAGAAGCGCAGGCGATCGCACGCCATCCACAAGCGGGCATGCTTCGCGAAGCTGGGCCCTGGGGCGAGGAAGGGGAAGACTACGAGCCCTAATTCTTCCCCGGGACCTGCGAATTTGGACAAGTATTTGAATGAAGAGGGGGAGTCGTGGGCGGAAAGAGTTTGTGGCGCAGTGGTGGGTTAAAATCTCTCCTTGTTTTTTTTTTTTTTTTGAGGTGATCTTTAGTGAAGCTTTGCTGATAGATAGCCATTGGCGTGTTTGAAGATGGTGGCTATGGAGCGTGCTGCCACCCTTGGTGACCTGAAGCTGGCCGGGGTTTTGAGTTGGGAAACTCTCCAGGGCATTTGTAAGTAAGGTTTGGGCTTTGTTTGCTTGGCTCTTGCTTAGGTTTGTTTTTCTAGCGATTGCTCTTGAGGAGTTTAGAGAGCAACGGCTTTCTGCTCGTCTGGCGGAATATCAAAATCATTGAAGAAAAGAGATGTGTTTTCTCTTTCTCAAGTTCTCAAGGACAAGAGAAGACATTGCAAGCAGGCCCCTTTGGAACTGAAAGAATTCAAGACATGTAATCGGTAAATCACTCTTCCCTACGATAAGACTTGGTCTAGTGGCAAGTGTGTAGGGTGCGACCGTAGACAAGCCTAGTGTAAGTGCTATACTTGCAAGAGTTTATTTCAATGTTTGAGTTGGACACTGCAAGAAAGTGTTCCATTCTTCATGCCGTATTATGTACCCCATAGATACTAGACTCTTGGATCATTGTAAGCATTGAAACTTTGATAGTCATACAATTGGGAGTTTGTAGTTGCACTCAAAAGCCCATCATAATAGCATTATGATATTCAAATCCTCATCTAATCAATGGGCATCTGCATATTTATATGGAATCAGGAGAATTGACTATAAATATTATAATGTGTTATAGTAAAATAACAAAATTGTGTTGATGTTTGATTATATTGTAAACTTTTGTAATTATTTATATAATTTAATTGAGCTGCTTTTAACTTACATAAATTGGAACATCTCCTTTAAGGATGTTTAAGTTTTAATATTTTTTCTTCTTCTTTTTAGCACTGTATTTTAAAGAAATGAAGGTTAAGAGTTATTATTTTGGAAATTGGTAATTAGTGATTTTGGTAATTTTGGAAATTAATGTGTTCCTTGTGCAAAATATATAAATTAAAATGTTCATCATTCATAAATCAATTAGAAACACCTAGAGGGATATTAGATAACCAAACGACAGTACCATTCCCTTTTGTGAAGGTCGTGGTTGCTAGAAAGCTAGAAAATCACATAACTTAAGATGGCTTGTAACTTACTAGAGGCTTGTTGGGAAGCCCTCCTGCTTTTAGCCAGGCTTTCCAGAATTTTGTCATGTCAATCGGCTGAAAAAAAAAGGAAAACAGATTTAAAGGTAGTTTGTTCTTCACAGCCTACCTCCTCTAGAAGCTCCTGCACTTGTTCCATCTCCTCCTGCATTTCCCAGCGTTTAGGCCGCATCTTAGAGCAGTCGAAGTCGAGGAACCGGGGCCCTCCATCGCGAGCGATCATCATGTTGGACCTCTTGAGATCCCCATGAAGAACTCCCCGCGCGTGGATTTGATTCAGCCCCAGCCTCAACGCAGCCACAGTGTGCCTCGTCACCCGGTCATCTCCAAGCTTCCTTGTGCCCTCATCCGACAGCGCCAAGTAGACCGCGTTGAAGTGAGGCAGCCTGCCCACCCCATAGAAAGTTGCTGTATAAACGCCATAGAGGTCTTGCATAGCAACATAAGCCTTCTGCTCCTGCTCAAACGCCTCCGCCGCACCCTCCTCCCGGAGATCAAACGTCTTGAACACGATCCGGATCCCAGTGCTCTTGAAACACCCCTCCAAGACGTTCCCGAACCTGGCCAAGCCGGCGACGCGGCCCGTGAGCCCGAGCTCCTCTATGCTGGGCGCCGACATGTCGCCAAGCCTGCATGCGTCAACCACTTGCAGCCGAGCGTGGCCGCCCCGGGGCATGGGGCGGATGCCTAGGAGTGTGGAGCCACGGGTGGAGGCAAAGGGAACAAGCTTCCGGTCCATACGGAGCTCTGGTTCTCGGCTCAGGCCGTGCAGGAGGAACACGAAAGCTCCTACCGTTGCGCCTTCCCTCCCAAACACGGGAGAGAACTGGAGGCGCTTGCTGGTAGCATCCGGCCTGCGAAAGAAAACAGTCTGGTGGTAGCTGGAGATGTAGCCCACCCGCGCCTCATCCAGCACCATGCAGCCAAAGAGACGCTGGACGCGGTACTCAACCTTGCGGTCACCAGTCCCCACTTGGGTCAGCTCCACGTTCCAGGGGTCGACTATGTGCCCGACCCCATGCACCCCCGACGGTTCGCTCCTGGTGGCTCCTTCACACAAGAAAGAAGAAGAAGCCACGCTTGTGTCAACAACAACCTGGGTGGCAAACGAGTAGGACCTCCCATCACCATGCCGGTACCGGAACGGGATGCGTAGCTGCTTGGCCATTTCTTCCACCAGCGGGAAGGCGATGAAGTTGAGGGCGTGCATTATGCTTTCTTCCGAGGCAACGGGCACGTAGCGCTGCCTAAAAAAGGTCGATAGCCGCTTCTCCGTGTTGTCCAGCCCGTTGATGAAGGCCTCCAAATCCTCTCTAAACTGTGGCCACGGCTCCAGTTGGACATGTGTGCTGGAGAAGCAGCTGCTATCTTCTTGCACTGGATCAACTCGCACATCGGGTAGGCAAACCCGTGCTGCTTCCCTGAGACTAAACTTGCCCATGACTATATACCCTAGTTCGCCAACTTTACCCTATTCCACTAAAAAAAATTCACCAAACCGTCCAACCATTCATAGACTCATGTCCGGTGACATCTTTCGAAGAGAAGAAGCGGAAAAAGAGCTGGTTTGTGATGCCAGCCATGAACTTCGCCACACGACCACTTAGAGCTAGAGGAGAAATAGAACTTTAGGGCACTACCGAGCTTTGTTTCCTTCTCTTTTGCGCTCACTCACAGAGAGCTTGGCACTGCTGCTCTGGAGGCAGACTTTTCCTCGTTTTTCTAACGGCAGAGGAGAAGAGGCTTAGAAGAAGTCTGGGTACTCCCGCTTGGCGTACATGGTCAGATCGCAGCAGTGCAGCCCGAGATATCTCAAGCGGGGGCACTTCTCAGCCAGTGCAATCACGCTCACGTCTGAAAAAGCCAAAGCAGAACAAGATAAGAATCGAAACAGAGAAACGCACGCTGAGTGTTTAAGCCGTGTCAGGCAGTCACCTGAGATAAGATGGCAACATCGACTCCTCACCAGTCGGGACACCAAATAGCTAAGCCAATGCCGATATTCCGTCGTCAATGATTCTGTCGCACGGAGCCCGACGCAGAGTCCTGTGCGAGAGCCTGGAGGAAAGAACAAGAAGTTGAGAAAAGGAAGCAAAGCAAGATTTTACAGAGCAAGACTTACCTTCAAAGCGTTGTCCGACCCCGCATTGTCGCATCCGTACAGGTTCAGGAGCCGGGCACCACTAATCCCAATGCAGCCACTCAGGTCGAGCTTCTGGCACCCGTTTGCCAAAGCCACCAAGGACCTCTGGACCCCCGTTCGACAAGTCCAAGCACAACATATCGTGAGTGTGCATCTTCGCAAGTTACAGCTCTGCACGCAGTAGAACTTGTAAGCCACGGCTCTTCCCACACCTGTGGATGATCCCAGCCAACAACACGGTAAACAAAACCAGAAGGCGTTGCAGAGTTGGTAAAAAACAAAGCAAACGCGAGCTTACCAAGAGAATGAAAGCTCCAGGATGCCAAGAGACGAGGCATCTTGCCAGCTGGTGCACACGCCAGAGGCCACAAAACCGTGTGGTGGTCGACCAGCGCTAGTATCCGCACCAGGAGCTCTTGCCACTTGGAGTCGGCACTGTGCTTTTGGACCAGCTTCTTCCACTTGTCTGCGCTGGCGATTCCATCTCCTCGTCCTCGATGTCGCGGAAGAACTGCCACAAGCCTCCAGAGGCGGGACGTTTGCTTCTCGTTCATGGTGGTGTGCTGAGCGTCCATATCCATATCACCTGCAAAGAGAAAAACGAAAAAATTAATCGAGAGGATCCATCACAGGAACACGAAGCAATCACACTCTCCACAGATAGAAGAAAGAAAAAAGAGAACAAGCTAAGTTTCGTCAAGAGCGAGAAGACAACAAGAGTACAAAAAAGGAGAGAGACGAAAAAGGCCACAGGAAGAAGAGGAAGCGAAGGAAAAAGTCGTGCTCCTTACCACGACATGAGAACTTGGGTATCGATCTCTATCCAAGCTCTGCCTGTTATTACTTACACGGCGGGCTCCTTGAGCTGGAAAACTCTCACAAGTTCTCAGGCCTGCATCTTCCTGACGGCCTGAGCGAGGTTCGCCCCATCACGCTTCTTCAACGTTCTGGATAAACGCACCAAGCTCTGGACAGAGTCAAGCAAAGGAAGAAAGACGGCAAAGTGGAAGAATAGTATACATACCACATGTCTTTCGCGTCACTGCTGATGACGGGAGCCACAAAGCACCATCTCGGTTCTCGCCACAGAGTGCAAGTGCGCGGAGGCGTGGAATTCAAGAGCTCCTCTCTGTAGATGTGTGATTTTGTGTATGTGGAATGCTCTGTCGACTTCATTGCTTTGGTATGGTTATGTACATAATGGTATGGGTGTGACGTTTGGCAGTTGGTGTCTTGGATGAATGACTTGTCTTCTTTGTTGACATGGAGACTTGTCATCACTTGTCTCCACACTCCTCCTCAAGGCTTGCACTGTCAGTCAAACGGAGTGATTTGAGGAAGAGTTCATGCTTCACTCGAGGCAAGGACTTCGTTAGGATATCAGTGACCATTGAGCTGGTCGGACAGAATTCTAGGTTGATTGTTCCATTGTTGACTTGATCCCGGATGAAATGGAACCTCAACTCAATATGCTTGGTGCGTGAGTGAAATCTTGCATCCCAAGTCAACGCTATTGCCGACATATTGTCGCAGTAGAGTTTGACTCCTGGAATTTGAATCCCGAGGTCCTGCAGCAACGTCTTAAGCCAGATGGCCTCTTTCGCTGCTGCTGCAGCTGCAATGTATTCAGATTCGCATGAAGACATCGCAGTGATCTGCTGCCTCTTGGAACACCAACTAACCATGTTATGGTTATACATGAAGACATACCCTGAGGTGGATCTTTTGTCATCTAGATCTCCTACCCAGTCTGCGTCTGTGAATCCCACCAGGCCGTTGTCTCCATCTCCTCTTGCATATTTCAGTGTGAATTTCCTTGTGCCACTCACATACCTCATGATCCGCTTTACAGCGGCCCAATGTGAGGGTGATGGATTGTCCAGGAACTTTGAGACTGCTCCCACACTGAATGTGAGGTCAGGCCTAGTTGAGACCATCAAGTAGATGAGGCTCCCGACCACTGAACGGTACAGTGTTGTGGTCTCCTCCTCGGGAGTGTCATCAGAGGTTGATGTCAAACTAAAAGCCTTGGACAACTTTGAGCCTGCTTCCATAGGAGTAGCCACCGGATTAGCGTTAAGCATAGAGTACCTCTGGAGAATGTCATGGATGTATTTCTCCTGTGAGAGCTCAAGTACTCCATGTTGCCTATCCTGGCAGACTTGAATTCCCGGACAGTAGTGCAAGGTGCCCAGATCGGTCATCTCGAATTTAGCAGCGAGAGAGGCCTTGATGCGGTGGATGAGTCGCA